GGGGGGGGGATTGGGTTGATTTTTTTTTTTGGGTTAATTAGATTGGTTGATTTGTTTTTTAATGATACATAAAGTGGATGGGTATCAAGGCCAATTTACCCTTTGCCGGTAGTTTTGATGGGATTGTTAATTGTGTACGTTAGTCCTTAAACCACATGGGGGTTATGTGGCTATTTTAAAAGGTGAGGGAGGTGATGTGCACATGGTGTAACCACAGGGGTTATGAGGCAAATTTTCCCAAGAGCTATAGAGTATTTAGGCTGGATGTGGATTTCATATCCCTTATTTGAGGTTGTCTGGACCTGGCACTTTGCTTTTTTTTCATGATTATGTATGAGTTTCATCTCTTCTGAATGCCTGAAACTGTACTTCGGAGTGCCAAAACCAACAACATCTTATTTGCGTGACTTGCAGATGGATTTGTGTGGGCACATGTATACGTTTGCATGTATACATGCAGATATGGAATAAGATTATCTTGATGACCTGAGAACTGGTCATTTGGACCAATTGTTTTTTCTTTGTAGAGCTAACCATTTGCATAGCATCCTAAAAATTCATGCTACAGCTATTTATTAAATTTTTCATGACTATAAAAAAGATGCTAAATGTCTCAATTTATGGAGAGTTCCATCTAATATCCCTAGGTTTTATAGGAAAAGGCTATGTATAACAGACGTGTATCATGTAGTAGTATCTTGTGACAAACTAGGATAAGCATGATCCACATGCAATTCAATCCTTTTGGCAAGTTTCAAATAAGTAGAGTATCTAGTTCAAACTTCAATGTTTTTTCTTTTAAAATGTCCTAAGGTTCTTAATGATCATAAGAAGCATGTGAAATTTGAGGCAAAAAGACAATTAAATCACTGGGATTTTGATTTTGCCTATAGCCCTTTATATATATATTTGAAATGAAGCGTCATATGTTAAAACCCTATATGGACTTACTCTACATAAGAATGGTAGATATGAAATGAATATTTGACACTTTGTGTTTGCATGAAAATGATCAGTAATATATACATATGTCGTATCCCAGTTATTAGATACAGTGACATGCTTTCTACCCATGGTTCTTTATAGATAAATGCAATGAAGCGTTGAAACTACAGATTGACTAACTCTACATAAGAATGGTAGTTATGAAATGAATATTTGGCATTTCTGTTTGCATAAAATGATCAGTCATAGATACACTCCAATTATGAGATACCGCGATGTGTTTTCAGCATGTGGTTTTTCATAGATAAATGAAATGGAGTGTTGAAAACTATATATGGACTACCTCTACATAATAATGGTAGATATGAAGTGAATACTTGTCACTTCTGTTAGCATGAAAATGATCAGTAATAGTTGCACATTTTGTATCGCAATTATGAGAAATATTTACATGTGTTTTCTTCTGCTTTTTGTCTATTTTATTTTTATGTTTTGCAATAAATGATGTGCCCTGAGGAGGTGGGGTAAAGTTGGCACTGCATTGTCGAGACTAGTCTGGTTGCCATGCGTAAGCCCTTCATTTTTTAACACAGATGTCAAATTGGGTATTCTTCAATATATTAATTTCTGCACTTGGTATCATATATAGTGAAGGGAAATCTCAAATTAGTTCCTATAACCTGACTATGTCATGAAAAAGTTTTGGCCAACCTTGACCATGTCCTGAATTATTGATGCCCAACCTTGGCTCGAGGCCATATCAGGACTGTTTTCCATTTTGATCATTAGTATTCATTTCCATCCCCTGCTCTAGCTATCATATGAGGACTACAGTTTTTTTGATACATGATGTTGGGAAGGTTATTTTCATGGTTTCATTGGAAATTATGATGTTCATTCCTACCAATTTGTTACTTGTACATGATTTAATTATGTACTTGACAGGAGTGTAAGCATTTGGTTTTTTCAGGTAGTTGTATCCAAGAAAATGGGGAACAATGTAGCCGAACTTTTTCACGTTCTGGTGGATGATGTTGAATCTTTTAAGAAGGAAAGGCATAGTTTCAAGATAAATTATTCCTTGCTCGGAAAAGGAAATCTGTGCGAAACAAGGTTTGTTATTGGCAAAATAATTATGGATACTATGGGCTGTGGAGGTGTCCAAAGGGGTGAAGTCAACCAGGAGGAGAAAGATGAGTTGCATACAGTTGATCCTGAACAAAGGGCAGATGTGTTTGAAGAGAATAGCCATAGAGCAGCTGATCTGGAAAAACGTCCAACTCTAGGCAAGGATGATAGAGGATGCAGTATACCACCATCTAATTGTGAACTAAAGCAAGAGAGTTCCGAGAAGCAAAAATTGACAGGGAAGAGGAGCAAATTTTCAGAGGAAAGAATGCCTAAGAATCAAGAGGCAATTGCCAACAAAGAACCTGAGGAGAAAGCTGAGAAGAGGAAAGGCTTGATTGACATCAATAAATGCCTAGAGCTGGCCAAGAAGCATCAGAATTCCATAACCAAGTGTCATTTAGGCCAGGAGAACAGGATTGAGCAAAGGGAAGGTGTGTTGGAGAATAAAGAGTGTCACTTGGATCAGCATGGGGTGGTTACAAAGAAGAACATTAACCCCGAAAAGGAAGAAATTAATACAGTAGGCAGCCGGTTGAGGTTGTCCAGTCTCTTCAAGTGAAGGAAAAGGTGTATATCTAATCTGTTGTAGATTACGTTAGTCATCTGAGATAGCATATTACGTGACTGACAGTTGTGCNGCCGGTTGAGGTTGTCCAGTCTCTTCAAGTGAAGGAAAAGGTGTATATCTAATCTGTTGTAGATTACGTTAGTCATCTGAGATAGCATATTACGTGACTGACAGTTGTGCTTCGTTCATGGGCTGATAAGTTAATCGTTTCATGTTCCAGTTTTAATTAGCAATATTGAGGAAACATTTTACAGAAGCTTAAATTATTGAATATATATACCGAGTTTTTTTCTTTACAGTTTATGTCACTAAAAATTCTGCGGCAAAATCTGCGGTTTTCAAGTCTCATCGAGGAAAGATTATATCCAAATTTACATATTCTTTTGTAACTGGTCTAGTGTGGTACGGGTTGAATTTTTCACCTTGAAGTTGAAGGTTCGAGTCTTGGAATTCATATTAGGGCTTGGTGGTGGTGGTGGTCTTTGCGCATTCTTCTTTGTTCCCACTTTTTTTTTGAACCATAAAAAAAAGGGCCTGCTTGTTTGGTAGGTTATGGGGTGTTTGGTATGATAGGTTTAAAGAAAAAGATCCAATGAATCAATAAAATTTATGTTTTGTTATTATTTTTAAGTTTTGGATTACAGTCTCGACCTATAAGTGGTTCGGAGCATTAAACCCATATACATGGGTTTCAGCAAACTCAAGGGAGAGTGAGTTTTATATATCAGCCTAGGTTAGTTATATCAAATCATCATTCTAACCTTATTAAAATATTCTATCTATCAAATCACATCCAAGTCTAATTAAACAAATATGAGTATAGATAGAATTGACCAATGAGAAATTTAGTCAATTTAATGACAAATGTTTAGTTATAATTACGATTAATCCATGTGTCCCATATTTATATAATAAAATAGCTAACAAGTTGAATTTTTATCCCTTATATATTTTTTCTCCCAACAAACATTACATAACAAAATTCTATCACATATTCAATCATTTATATTTGGTTAATTTATAGTTTAACACAACTTTTATTTTATACATTATCTATAAATGATAGTGTACATATGTTGAATTTTTTTTTTTGATTTATGTATTTTGAGAAAATTTTGACGTTATTTTTAAGAAAATAATATATAGAAATTAATTGTAAATGATGCAAGTAAATAAATTAATTTTAAATTTGNGACGTTATTTTTAAGAAAATAATATATAGAAATTAATTGTAAATGATGCAAGGAAATAAATTAATTTTAAATTTGGTATGGTGGAATCAATTTTTTGAATAATAAAATCTTATATTTCATCGTGCCTTTAAACATGAATTATGACTAGTATATATATATATGCTACTTATAAAACACAAGTATGGATAAGATTATCATCGATGAATCTTATGTTCACAAAGGTGAGGTTGGTTTTGAGAGAGTTTGGTAAAACTAATTTTTTTTTTGGACAAGGCATGCACAAATACACACAAACAATTCATACATCAAAGCCGCTCAGAATATAGACCAGGAGAGGGACCCACATACCAATTTCTCTAAAGAGAAACTGGCAAAAGGTCAATTATACTCCAATCATAGGCGCTGAGCAAGTGATATGGGACAACTGATAAAACTAATTCAATCCACCAATCTAAAACTATCCAAACATACCTTATGGGGTTGTTTGGATGGTTTTTTTGGAGGGATTTGAATTGACTTGTCCAAACTTAAATTCTTTTTTATAAAAATAAGATTTAACGTTAAATTCAGTTCATACTCATGTTTGGTATGTCATGAATATATCACTATTATGATAATACATTTATATATAAATAACTATTGTGCTCCTTCATCAATCTAATCCAAATCCATGTTTTTATACGTATGGGATATAATTATCTTTTTATATCTTGAATCCGTTAACCCTCATCCAAAACCCACCCCCCGCATGGTTTGATAAAACCCATTATCTGGGGTTTAAGGTTTGAGCCAATAACAAGCCGGATTTAATAACTCAAGCTTTAAATTTTTGGTCAAATATAAATTTTGTATGTTATTTGAATTATTTTTCTTCGACCTACCTTCCAAAGCCTCCCCCAAAATCCCGCTTGCAAAATAGTCCCTATAGATTCTCAATGTACAAAAATATATCTAACAAAATAAAATATGTGATAAAAAAATAAACTAAAATATGAGAAAAAATTAAAGATGAACAAAAAATAATTTTGAGTAGTTAACAACTTAGTCGTACACTTAATTCGTAATACATTTTTTAACAATTTTTTCTACCTACCTAGTTAAAGATTCTACAAGGATATTATCTATCATATTGTAAAACTTTCTTTTGACAACGTTTGACATGATATGATTAAAAGACCAAATTCACTATAATCTTTGGATTGATTATGAATCTCATTAAACATTAAAACTTAATATTAATTTAACAGATACGATAAAATTACATTGTTAAATCAACAAATTGTATTAAATTTTAAGATCTCAATATTATTACTCAACATTTTTGTTGTTAAAGTTGAAGACCAATACATTCTCTTCACATAAACTATTTTAGGGGGTGGGTGGGGGGCAAATCTCTTGATAATGTTCAAAATTTTGCGTTTAATACTATATGTCCTGGTGTTGACAAAAGTTGGGGATGGGGTTGGGGTGGGGCATAGGGCAGCTCCGCCCGTCTATAAGTGCTGTCTACTATATGTGGTAAATGCATTATTTTAAGTTGTATAATAGCGCTTTACTAACATATATCAACCTGACCAAAAAAAAAAAACATATATCAGAAAAAAAAGAAAGAAAAATCTGATTTTGAAATATCTTTGGCTTTGATACGGAGTTCAAGTGTCATTTTGACTGTTGCCCCCTTGATCCACTCAAATAATTATCCAAAAAAAAAAAATTAAAATACAAAATACTGACAGCTCACTATAATAAATAGCTGGAAATGGTCAAGTGCACATGACCATTGTACTCGAGTGTTCTCTCACAAATTGAGTCTTGCAGCAATTCACCATTTATTTAATAGAAAGTAACGTTACATGAATTTAAAAATTATATTTAAAAATTAGACTTGATAATTATAATTATTAATTTTATTATAAGTCTAATATTTATTGAAACTCACTACCTATTTAATGATTATAATTACCAAATTTAATTTTAAAATTGATATACCATTACTCTTTAACAAAACAACAAGGAACATTTCCTTACAACCCCTTGTTGGGTGCTAATTTATCAGGACTGTCTATTCCTCTTCAATTCACTTGTTTTGCCTAAATCAACAAATTGTTACTTGAATGGCTTTTTTTAGCATCATCAATTATCACTAGGTAGTTAAAAAATGTTATAGAAAATTAATAAGAACTAACTATTAAATATATCGATAAAATTAATTATACAAATTTATCTACCTAATGTGAGTCATTCCATTTTCGGCTTTTTAGNAAAAAAAAAAAAAAACGTTAATGTGAATCATTCTCAATAAGTTTATCTAATTAATCTAAAAATAACTTAACCCGATTGATGTACTTTAACTACTTTATTCACACCAAAGCCCCAAAGTAGGTAAGAGGCCAAGAGCGCATCTAAAAGTGGGAACCCCCCAATCAGTATTATTTTAACAAAACTTGAAATAATTTGAAAGCAACGTCTCACTCACTCACATGCCACATGACAAATGCCAACCAAAGATGACCGTTAGGAGGAGGACCATAAAGTCGTTTCTAAATTCTTCTACACTTATTAATCCAACGGCCAAATGTTACTAGCCGTTAGATTTGAAAAAAGAGTAGGCGTACCACCAGACAAATACCCACCGTTTCCGTCCCAGCTCACTCCCCCCTTCACTTGGGTCTTTGTGTACTCTTTTCTTCGTCTTCTTCTCCAGACTGAGCCTGTAGATTTAGGGTTCTTAAATGCTCTCAGTCTACACTCTTGGATTGTTTACATTGTGGGTCTGTTGAAGGGGAGAGAGAGATAGAGAGAGAGACGTTCCTGGGTGTGTTTGATTCTTCAGATAATCAAGAGATGGATATATCTGATGAGAACAAACCTACATTGAGTAAACTAACAAACTTACAAGGTATATTATTCGAAAAATGTAGCTCAAAATGCAACATTTGTCACACAGTTGAGCTGAAAAAACAACCTCATTTTTTGAATTGGGTTGTTGACTTCTTTTTTCTTTTTTTGTTATTTTTGAATAATAAAAGGTGGTTCAGAAATGGGTAGCAGAAAGTTTGGTGTGGAGATCANAAAAAAAAAAAAAAACCCTAATGTGAATCATTCTCAATAAGTTTATCTAATTAATCTAAAAATAACTTAACCCGATTGATGTACTTTAACTACTTTATTCACACCAAAGCCCCAAAGTAGGTAAGAGGCCAAGAGCGCATCTAAAAGTGGGAACCCCCCAATCAGTATTATTTTAACAAAACTTGAAATAATTTGAAAGCAACGTCTCACTCACTCACATGCCACATGACAAATGCCAACCAAAGATGACCGTTAGGAGGAGGACCATAAAGTCGTTTCTAAATTCTTCTACACTTATTAATCCAACGGCCAAATGTTACTAGCCGTTAGATTTGAAAAAAGAGTAGGCGTACCACCAGACAAATACCCACCGTTTCCGTCCCAGCTCACTCCCCCCTTCACTTGGGTCTTTGTGTACTCTTTTCTTCGTCTTCTTCTCCAGACTGAGCCTGTAGATTTAGGGTTCTTAAATGCTCTCAGTCTACACTCTTGGATTGTTTACATTGTGGGTCTGTTGAAGGGGAGAGAGAGATAGAGAGAGAGACGTTCCTGGGTGTGTTTGATTCTTCAGATAATCAAGAGATGGATATATCTGATGAGAACAAACCTACATTGAGTAAACTAACAAACTTACAAGGTATATTATTCGAAAAATGTAGCTCAAAATGCAACATTTGTCACACAGTTGAGCTGAAAAAACAACCTCATTTTTTGAATTGGGTTGTTGACTTCTTTTTTCTTTTTTTGTTATTTTTGAATAATAAAAGGTGGTTCAGAAATGGGTAGCAGAAAGTTTGGTGTGGAGATCAGACACAACCGAAGAGCTTTGGGTGTAATTAATCAGAATTTTGGTGGTGTTCATCCTTACCCTTGTGTCGTCAACAAGAGAGCTTTGTCAGAGTCAGTCAGCACTCCAATCTGAAGATTTTCAGTCTTTCTTTCTTATTTTTCTCTTGCTTTTTCTTCTTTGTTAATGTATTTTGATCCCATTTTGTACCCAGAACAAATGGAACATGCCATAAGAATCCTCCCATTCAAGTTCATCGACCAAACACAAGGTTAGAGTGGTTTCCCTTCACTTCATTGCTTTTGCTTCCCTTTCTGTTTCTGAAAACTGCATTCTTCACCCTTTGGGCTTCAATTTTGTTTCCAAAGTTTTCCAATTTTTATTGTATTTTTCTTTCTCCAGAAAATTTGCTACTGATATGGCAAGCTCACAGCAACCTTGTCCTGAGGTTTTACCCCTTTCTCTCTCTAAATGAGTGTGTGTGTGTGTGAGATACAAACTAGTAAATTTTCCTTTCTATTTATTTTTTCATAGTTTGTGGCTTGAAATTTACACAGGAAACTAAGAAATCAAGACCATCAGTTGATAATTTTACCGTATGGGAGGATGTTCCACAAACAGATGAGGATGAACATCAAACAGATAGAGACAAACCTGTACCAATGTCCTTGGAACACTCAGAAGCAGTGTTGAATGAAAAAGATCAAATGGTATTTGTTTCTTTGTCTGTACTCCTCCAAAACCAGTATTTAGATCTGCAAATCTAATGGTTAGATCCCAAAATTTCCATAGGAGGTTGAAATGGAGGATATATTTGAAGAGCCTGTTATGGACATTGATGGCTGTGATGCAAGGAATCCACTTGCAGTTTCTGACTATGTGGAAGATCTCTATGCCTACTATAGGAAGATGGAGGTGACATTGAGTTCATTTTGTGTAAAAGTTCCTTAAGGATTTGGCTTATGAACTGTTAAACTAATTAGCTTTACTTACAAAGATTCTGAACTTTATCTTTTGGGTGACTTTGATATGCACAATGGTTTTAACCTAAGTCAATCTTGTTGTAATACATAGATTTTAGATCAGTCCTCGCTGAAATCTATCTGATTTTACCACTTAATTGTTTTCTGATAGGAAACATTCAACTTCAACCCACTTTTTACATATACTTTGCCTATAAAATTAGTATCTAGATTTATGTTCAAACCAAAAAAGCAATTGGAAGCTTTGATGTATATGCTCTGATTAAAACTGCTGTACTTTAGAGAATTGTGATTAGAAGTATTCAAGTTTTGTTGACTAAACAATAATCACTGTATGCAGAGTTCTAGCTGTGTTTCACCAGACTATATAGAACAACAGTTTGACATCAATGAGAAGATGAGGGCTATCCTAATAGACTGGCTAATTGAGGTAGATGAAGGTCTCCGATTCATAATTTCTATGAGGAAAGCAGGCGTTTGGCTTTTACGCGACTGGTATTAATGTTGCATCAATTTAGTGAAAACTCGATTATTAATTCTCTTGTTCAAAATCAACAGGTACACCACAAGTTTGAACTCAGGGAGGAGACATTATTTCTGACTGTCAATCTTATAGACAGATTTTTAGCTAAACAGTCGGTGGTTAGAAAAAAACTGCAATTAGTTGGTTTGGTTGCAATGCTCTTAGCATGCAAATATGAGGAAGTTTCTGTCCCAGTTGTGGATGATTTAATTTTCATTTCAGACAAGGCCTACACTAGAAAAGAAGTCCTTGAAATGGTAATTATTGGTGATCACAATGTTTTTTCTTTTGTGCTTTTCTTCTTATGGTAAAGAATTTAAATCCTTGCATTCCTGCAGGAGAGGTTAATGCTCAACACATTACAGTTCAACATGTCGGCTCCTACCCCATATGTTTTTGTGAAAAGGTTCCTCAAGGCTGCTCAATCTGATGGGAAGGTTGGTTGAATTGAATTATCACCTTAAGTGGCATAATATAATCTTTGTTTCGCTGGCAAAATTAACTTAGTGAGACTGATTTTACAGCTTGAGCTGTTGTCTTTCTTCTTGATTGAGCTTTGTCTTGTCGAGTATGAGATGCTCAAATTTCCACCATCTTTTATGGCTGCCGCTGCTGTCTATGCTGCTCAGTGTACCCTTTATGGGTTCAAGCAATGGACTAAGACCTGTGAGTGGCATACCAGCTACTTGGAAGATCAGCTTTTGTGAGTCATTTTCCCTTCTAATAAATACTGATTTAAGACGCTTTGTGTTTAGGCAATGTGTTTTNGTCATTTTCCCTTCTAATAAATACTGATTTAAGACGCTTTGTGTTTAGGCAATGTGTACTAATCAGCTATGTTTTTCCCCCTTGCTCACAGAGAGGCCTCAAGATTGATAGTGAGTTTCCACCAAAAAGCAGCAACAGGAAAGCTTACCGGAGTGCACCGAAAGTACAACACATCAAAGTTTGGTTATGCGGCGAAATGTGAGCCGGCCATTTTCCTCATAGGGACCCAACATTAGGCAGAGCATGTATAGTTGCTAACTTTATATGACTTCTGTAATTGGCCTGATTCTCAACAGGGAGATTTGTTATAATTGGGCGGTGGGGTGGGGTACAAAATAATTCAGCAACTTAGGTTGCCCTGGGGATTAATTTTCTGAGTTTTTTAGGATGCAGCCATGGTTGTTACATTTCCATACACCCATGGTTGTGCACTATTGTGTTCAATTTTGTGAACACACCTTAACATTACCTTTTCTGTTCCATTTGATAATAAATTACAGATCACACCATTTTCTTATAACCCTCTTCCATCTCTTCTTAGTAGCATTTGGTAACATTGTCTCCATGAATGCTTCTACATATGAGAATCATGTAGGTGCTTTGCAGAATATTACAGTGGTGAATGAATGAAATTTCCTTTTTTTTTTTTTATATACATTAATTTGATTTTAGTGAGAGAAGGTTATCTAAGTATTTTGCCTTTGTGTGTGAATAAATTGTGGAGTTATCATGTATGTGTTAACTGGCTTAGTTTACATACATGTTGCTTGTTCCATGGTTTTTCCTTTCAAATACTATGCAAGTAACAATGAGACACCGATTTAACACAATAATCTGGAAAAAAGNTGTGTGTGAATAAATTGTGGAGTTATCATGTATGTGTTAACTGGCTTAGTTTACATACATGTTGCTTGTTCCATGGTTTTTCCTTTCAAATACTATGCAAGTAACAATGAGACACCGATTTAACACAATACTATGCTATATCCATGCATGATTGAGGCAGGAAAATTGTATCTATTAAGATCTAAACATATGCAATTCTAGCATTATTATCGGTAAATCATGTCATGCGCAGGATTTGTAACATTCTGTTGTCATTATACCTTAATACATAAATCGAAACAGTTTCTGCAACCAAACATACACTATTAATCTCATAAATTTAAGTTTATTTTGCACTGCATGTAAAATGCAATGCACCCGCACATACATATGGTGCCAGAAGAAAATAAAAGAAAATAGGAAGCATAACAAACAGAGAGGTTTCACAACCTAAATAGTGCAATGCTTACTGTCGCAATTCTTTTGGCACTCCTCTATAGTCTTGTAGAAATCTCTCTTGATGCGATTGCCTACCCAACATTGAAACAATTCTGTTGGTGCAATACCACCAGGAAGTCTTTCACAGTGACAAGCATTAGGCGGAAGTTTTCCAGCTTTCAGCTCTGGAATACCTATTTCTTGTTCATTCTCATGGCTGCCAGAAGTAGTACGACCTGTATGTGAGAAAAGGTTTTTGATTAGAAAAGAAGAAATTACTGTAAAAATCATAGGCACAGAGTCTGTTGTCTATCAGTGGATTAGTAATTTACAAGAAGTTTAAGCTCATGAGACGGTAACAAAAGTTATATCAAATGGACCACGATAGCCAACCATTTCCCTAAAGTTTCTCCTTTTAGGTAAAATGTTTGAAACAACATCATATGTTTTTTTTTTTTTTTTTTTGGGGGGGGGGAGAGGGAGAGAGAGAGAGAGAGAGAGAGATTTACATTCATGAAGAGCTAACAGCAAGCTGAAGACAACACAGAAGAGAACCACATTAGCTGTTATGGATTTTGTAGTTGCCATGGATATGTTTGAGAGAGAGGATTATGATAAAAATACATTCGCCAAGTCTGGTTTTTATAGCAGCAACTCAACCTTCTTAACTGCTTGGATGTTCATAATCTAATCTAAGATGAGCCAGCATTAATCACATTGAGTCAAGTTGTTATTTGGATGTACATATATAATAGAAAGTCTATAATCTCTTATAGATCACAACTATCATCCTTTCAAATATGCCAGCATTAGTGTTAATTAAAGACAGATTCTTAAATTGTTCCAGCAGATCAATTAGAACAACACTCTCTCTCTCATACTGGAATGCAATTGGCTTAAAAAAAACAAGCAACTGTCGGCCAGGGCCAAAAGAACATTGCTCTTTTACAATGAGTAATGTTAGACGGACTTAAAAAGTAGACTTAAAAATTAGACTTGATAATCTCAATCATTGAATAGGCAATGAGTCCCAATAAATGTTGAAACTCACAGTGAAATCAATGGTTCTAATTATCAAGTTTAGTTTTTACAATTTCAGGGAAGACCTTTTAGCCAAACTGAATCCTCTATAAATTTTGAATTTTGATGGAATATTAATTGTCAGGTGGGTCCACCAGCCCCACTCCCAAGGAATAAGTATAAAGGACTTAACAAATATCATAAGTGAGACCTACTACAATAAATACATGACAGGTAATGAATGTTTTAGAAGGCTAGTCTATGCCTACTTTCCTGCATTGACGGATGCACAATACATGATGGTAAGTGACTTTCTAATTTTCTCTATATACATGGGTGAAAACCCAAGCAAGAGGGGGCCTCAAGTATGAGCACCTTGGTTCCATACTTCACACACACACACACCTATATTATTATTCTTGTTTATACACTTGCCTCTTGCAGTTATTGATCGCAATACTAACTTAGGCATTGGAGGGGCCTCCCTTGGCTCAACGCCGNTGGCTTAAAAAAAACAAGCAACTGTCGGCCAGGGCCAAAAGAACATTGCTCTTTTACGATCAGTAATGTTAGACGGACTTAAAAAGTAGACTTAAAAATTAGATTTGATAATCTCAATCATTGAATAGGTAATGAGTCCCAATAAATGTTGAGACTCACAGTGAAATTAATGGTTCTAATTATCAAGTTTAGTTTTTACAATTTCAGGAAGACCCTTTGGCCAAATTGAATCCTCTATACATTTTGATGGAATATTATTTGTCAGGTGGGTCCCCACTTCCAAGGAAGAAGTATAAAGGACTTAACAAATATCATAAGGGAGACCTATTACAATAAATACATGACAGGTAATGAGTGTTTTAGAAGACTAGTCCATGCCTACTTTCCTGCATTGACGGATGCACAATACATGATGGTAAGTGACTTTCTAATTTTCTCTATATATATGGGTGAAAACCCAAGAAAGATGGGGCCTTAAGTATTAGCACCTTGGTTCCATACTTCACACACAAACACACACTTATATTATTATTCTTGTTTATACACTCGCCTCCTGCAGTTATTGATCGTAATACTAACTTAGGCATTGGAGGGGCCTCCCTTGGCTCAACGCCGGGGGTCTCTCTAACCTCTTTTTGCCTTGAAGTTCAGGGATTGGGTGATACTCGAAGACTAGGGGCACATCTCAACTCATTTAAGTGATTGTGTGGATTTTTACTCGAACAATTTGGCGCCGTCTGTGCAGGAAACGATGCTATGTGTNTCTTGTTTATACACTTGCCTCTTGCAGTTATTGATCGCAATACTAACTTAGGCATTGGAGGGGCCTCCCTTGGCTCAACGCCGGGGGTCTCTCTAACCTCTTTTTGCCTTGAAGTTCAGGGATTGGGTGATACTCGAAGACTAGGGGCACATCTCAACTCATTTAAGTGATTGTGTGGATTTTTACTCGAACAATTTTGCGCCGTCTGTGCAGGAAACGATGCTATGCGCTCCGAAATCTTCATTTCGTCTGTCCATGGGCTCTGCATAATCCAAATACCCTTCTCAGTACCTTCTCGTATCATCTGTTCATGAGTCTCGGTTTATTATATTTGGTAAGCGTATTGAATTTGGTCTTGACTTCGGCTGCTTGGTTTTTCTTCTAAACTCAGAAACACAGAACATTGTAATGTTCTTAGATGACCCCACCATGAAATCCTTTGCATGGAGAACCCACAGTCTTGGTCTGCTCATAAATATATATATATATATATATATATATATATACTCCAAGTCAACATGCCAAACTAATATTTCCATATTCTTTGTAAGTTGTTCACACCTTCATTTGATCCTTTGTTTTGCCATATGCTAAATATAAAACCCACTTCCGTATTTTGGAGGGCCATTCAGTACTCCTGTAAGATCTTTAAAATTCTTGCAACATGGGGACAGCCTTTCCTACTCTTGAATCATGCAAATGGCGGTCGGATACTCAAAGTTTTGATCTCGGTCTCGGCATAGACAACATGAGGCATCCTCGGCCTCCCTTGCTAATTATTCTACTGGAAACCCCACGACATTATCACAATCACCTGAGTAGTGGAGCCTTCCATTGTGCACTTGTGGATTCCATGCCCAAAGTTCACTCCCACTAGATTCAAGAAGGAAGTTTGCACTGTAACAGACTTTCAATCTTGCCACCAAAACGACGAGAATGACCCTCTCCCCAGAATCGACGCATCAAAAAGTCTTGAGATCTTGAAAAAATTCAACTACGGCAAAGTGCTTCGCATTTAGTCACTCGCTCAACTTGGTCTCTCTCTATTTGTTCAATTGATGGAGCTCCGGCATGTCACTATTATTATTTCGCATGTGGATGGAATTCGTGTCTCTTTATTTCACATATCTGTGCACTAAATTTGACGAATGCAAAGACCAGGCACACTTTACACTTAGTAGATTACTAACCTCTTATTATAAAGTGGAGGACGTTCTAGTACACTCTGCCTTTACCTTGGTGTTTCATTTTGCCATTATCGCACTCGGGACATCTACCTATAGCATATCCTCGTCGATGGAGCTCTGCAGCAAACACAAAGATGAGTGATTTGCTTTATCACACACCGGCGGGACTCTAGGTGGCTCTACAGTCTCTAGGTTGACACGTGGAATAATAAAACTGTTGGGATATCCAAAGGATGCTGAGGAGGTAAGTTGAGGTATGGTGACACGGAGCAGCCGAGTACAACAGCTGACATCGTATTTAATCCGATGTGACCCCTCATTCATGGCGGAATGAGTGATAGTGACAAGGCAAGTAAATGTGCGCCTGCCAGCACCTATCCTCTGAGAGTGTAAGCCTACTGTCATGATGGCTAAACATTAATGGCTGATGCGCCGAGACGACGCAATCGGCTCTCCCAAGAAATTGTTCCCCCCGAGTATTCAATGCTCAGTTGATGTCAGTTGTCGATCTAGGGGATTTGGCTACTCGGGGAGTGGCATAAATGCTTGGCATTTGACCGAACATTTATCCCATTTTCATAGCATTCAATAGGAGGAGACGTGAGTAGAAAATACTCATTGCACGAGGAATGGTGTGTCAGATGTAAGATGTCCAAATGAGACTAAAGATCTTTGACAATTATTGCTAATTCAAGTATAAATACTCCTCAGAAAAATGGACAAATGTACGCAAACTTGAATTAGAAAAATAGTCCATTGAGTAAAACCCTTCGACCTTATATTAACTTAAGCTTCGGAGGGGATTAGTCGGGCGCTCGCCTGGCCCCCCCCCCCTTTTTTTTTCCTGACCCTGTTGTTTCAGGTTCGCCAGCTTGGAGATCGCTGTCTCATACTATTGCAGGAATTATCCTGTGCAATTTGGCGCCGTCAGTGGGAATGAAGGCATTTTTCCCGGTAGCGATCGTCTGATGGTGAACACTTGATCTTAAGGTGAGGGAGCAGGTGTATGGGCCAGGAACGTAGAGCCTGTCCGACTTCCAATGATTTTGGAGCCGGGTTCATTGGGCCAATCAAATGGGGTGGGACATTCTTCACAAAGAAAGCTCCCTATGGATTAGGGCCTTGGGGGACGTGACCTCATGACCCATGACATTGTTAAGATGATGGAAACGCAGATGGGAAAACGCATTAAGCAGCTTGAAAGGAAAAACGCCAAAGTCCAGTAACGTCTTGACGATTTAGAGCAGTCAGCGAGTGCGGGTAAGCATAGTCGCGGATTCGGGGACCAGGTGCCTAGCCAGAACCTGTCCAGACCACCTTGGCATTGGCCCTCCAGGAAAGATTGGATTAGGCACTCGTCCGAGGGATGTAATCGCCGAGCAGGGTTCTCGGCCTCCAAGGGGAAGTCATAATCAGGCTAGAAGGCAAGCCTATCCAGGTGGGACTTGCGCCGAGGGATACCCGAGGGCGTCGGAGCCACCGAATCACAAGTGGAGTTCATACCCCGAAGGCCTCGAGGAGAAAGATCAAAAAAGGATCCTAGGGTCCCCTTCATTGCTCAGCGTAACCATGAGCCCGAGGTTTACTTCGATGAAGTTATTTCACCGTTCGTCTGGGCTTTCAGGGAGGTCGAGATGCCGAAGAAGTTTATCGTTCCACGGTTCAAAGTCTATGATGGGAAAACTGATCTTGAGAGTCACCTTCGACAATACAGACAATTGATGTCAATCTATGATACTAACCAAAGGGTGTTGTGCCGAGTTTTTTCCATGAGCCTAGGGGACACCGGCATTAGGTGATATGAGAACCTTTCTCTTGAAAGCGTTGAGTCCTGGAAATAATTGACGGAGCTCTTCATAGCTTGATTCATCACCAGCAGTAAGAAACCGAAGGACATCGGCGCTCTATTAACGCTTAGGTAGAAAGGGGGAGAGACACTCCGACAATATGTCGTCCAGTATTGGGATGAAGTGAACGAGGTGAAGGCATGTTCGGAGGCATTGGCCGCGGCATCATTTAGGCTGGGGCTGTCCCGGGACATTGATTTGTACAAATCGCTGACTAAGAAGGCTCCGATGGACATGAAAGACTTGATGACTCGGATTAACAAATATAATCGGCTGGAGGAAGAATTCGACGCGCCCCAAAGTAGGGTCACGGTGCCAAGAAAAAAGGAAAGGGAGCAGCCGGCCTGAAGGGGAGGGCCTATTCCACCCCAACTCGCCTATCCTTCCAAGGAGTGAACATGGTCTTTAACGAGCCCATTCGCAGATACTTCCCAAAATAAAAAAAAACCTTACTTCAAGTGGCCCCCGAGGATGTTTGGAGACATGTCGATAAGGAATGCGGCCTTTTGTTGTTCATATCATAAAAATATCGACCATTTGACGGAGGATTGCAAGGTTTATAAATCCTTCCTCGAACAATTGGTGCGAGACGGACNGCACACACACACAAAACACCCTTAAAACACTCACGGGTTCTCTCTCTCTTAGCCTACCAGTGCCACCGTCACCAGCAAAGCAACATTGCAATGTTCCAGGTATTTCTCTCTATCCCCTCCCCTCCCCTCTTTTTGTTTCTCACTGAAATGTTTTCTGAGATGCCCAAAACCCAGACCCCAATCATAATGCCCATGACGCTTTTGTTGAAATGCCTAAGAGAACCCACACCCACACCTACTGTTGTTTGCAAGCACATCTCTCTGCCACCCCTCTCCCGCCCTCCTTCTACCTTTCTCATACACAAACAGCACACCCAAATCCCTCAGCCATCACACTCACAGACCCACACAAAGCCTCTCAGCCAACATAGAAATAAACTACACACACAAATGCAACCCACTCTTCACCCACGCACACATACTGTCAGATTCTTTGAAGAGAAAATTACACCTTTAAGCCGTAATAAAGCGAGTGCTGTGGAAAGGGATAAAGATATGGAAATGAGAAATATCCTGACTTACCTTATTATTATTAGTAGTCGTTGTGTTGGCATCTGCTTCGGCTACAATGTCTGAAACTTCAAAATGACATCTCCTCTTCCTTGGCTTTGGAGTAGGAGGAGCAGAATGAAAATTTTAAATTCAAAACCAGAGAGAGAGAGAGAGAACAAAGCCAAAATTGTTTTCTGAGACGTAATTAATGGAGCCAACAAAGATGTTGGGGGGTAATGTTGTGGAAAAGGAAAAAAAAAATGGTAGACGAACAGGATAAGAAAGATGGAATTGTTCTCTTTTTACTGCATTGTTTTACTCTCTATTTTGGTAGAAACAGAGTAGACAGAGTAGAGTTAATTACTTACAATTGGGGTGGATTGTCTCCATGACAAGGACCCGCATGTTTGTGTGAGGATCTTCCTTGCTGCTCTCTTCAGTTTCAATGATGCTCCCACCATTCCCGCACTCTCTCTATTTCGGATTATCGTTACCCCTTTACACAGCACGCACACACACACAAACACAACCACTCTTCTACCATTTTAAATTTTTTTATGCAATTTTAAATGTGCTATAAATTTCGCGACGAGGTCAATTTTGACGTAAGATTAGAATACACATAATACCCACCTTTCTTTCACACACACATAGAGAACAAACACATCTACACACTCTTTCGTCTCTGCCCAACCTACACTCACACAGACCAAATAACAACAACAACACACACACATTGATTTTTGTTTGCTATACTATTGTGTCCCAATTTCAATTTTCAATTGAGTTTGCTCTTTTTTTTGGTCATTTGAGTATGCTCACAATTTTGTTAATTTTCATTTGTTGGACTTCCTCACAAGATGTTTGAAAAAATGATTGACAAGGTTTGGTTTTGCTTTAATTTATGACATCATATTTTCAAATGATACTCTATCAAAAATTTGAAAGTTTTTTATATTTTGACCCTTTTTATTTAACTAAAGTCATTACACTAAAAATGACCAACCGCATGTTTTTAGTTTATTACGTGTCTGAGTTTAGTGCTTGATTATTTCGCGTTCAAATTCAATTTTTGTTGCAGCGTGCCTTCAGGCACGGATTATCCCTAGTTATTTAATATAACAGTAATATTAGATCAATAATAAATTATATATAACATTAAATAACGTGAATTCACTCATCTACATGATATTTAATTATTAATTAGTGATATTATGTATCAATGATCACCAATCAAAACCTACACTTACCATATTTACAAAAATGAACTTTGAATGCATAATTAATCGTTAATTATGTGCATCACTTAAACTCGGGTTTTGCAGTTAAAAAATTCTAACTTAAAACCTGCAGAGTTATATTATTTTATGTAAAATTAAAATAAAAAATTGTGTTAAGAATTATCAACTGTAAATCACACTTTCTGAAAAAAAAAAAAAAACCTCTTTAAATCACGAGTAATATATTATATCATGTCAGCACTGCTAATATGATATTACCATCTAATAAAAAAAGAATAAAAAGAGTAAAATAAAATCCACTTTCAAACATAGTGGTGATTATATATGACATAACTGAGTAGTTATTAGTTTTAGTCATAGTTTTAAAATCCGGCTTAGACATCATTTCGGTGAAGGGACTATGTCAATGGTCGGACGGGTAATATAATAAAAAATTAAAAAATAATTATAAATAATAATAAAACAGGCTAAAAAATCAAAATAATTATAAAAATAATATCAAACATGTAAAGTTAAGTAGAAAAAAATCATCAAACATGTATTCAATTTCAATGTATTCAATTTTCAATATAAGTAGAGAAAAATACCTCTGCAGGTGCTGGATTGAAGCGTGGTATCAGCCCTTTCTTATCAGGACCTCCTGGCTTGCCCATCATTGTATAGGTTTTACCCGAACCAGTTTGACCATAAGCAAAAATGCAAACCTGAAATACAAAAACCAGCATCCTTTTTCTGCAAGCTGACTAATTCTTAAAGTATACTAAGCAATCCTATCACTGCTTATATGGGAAAAAGCAGAGTTTTTTAAGTGCATGAACTATACAGAGGATAACAATATTACAGGGAGTCGAATTTTAGTGCCCACG